TGCTCGCTCTGTTAATTTACTACTTTGCAGGTACTAGATGATCTGCGATCAGGTGGGACGTCAAGAAGTGGTGGAGTTAGGCGACACTGTTCAAGATTACCTTATGTTACTAAAGTATATCAATGTTATGTGTATATATATATATTTATTAATTAAAAATAGAATTTTCGGATTTACATTATGTATATATGTTTGTAAAAGTTATCTAGTAAATTTTATCTTATATTTTATTATAGAATTACTAGCTATATAGTATATTACACATCAGTAATAGGATTATTCAGTTCATACAAATATTGGTTACAAATTGGAGGACCAGGCCCCTCGAAGTGCCTACACAAACAAATTACACATTAATTTCTAGCAACTAAAACAACATTGTACTTTTTTTTTATTACATGATTAATTCGAAACCCCTTTCTCCAATTTCATCATTCATTACTTTGTTTAGTGCACTAGCTAAGAAGAAGCATTATTATGAAGTGATTTCACTATATAAACTATTGAATTCAACTGGGTTGTCTCCAGATTTAATATCTTTGAATATTTTGATGAATTGCTTTTGTAATATTGAAAGGGTTTCTGATGGTTATGCGGTTTTTGGGGCAATTCTGAATTTGGGTTTTAGCCCAAATACCATGGCATTTACTTGTTTGATTAAAGGTCTGTGTGTAGAGAGAAAGATTATGGAATCAATGGAATTGTTTAAGAAAATGATTATTGTTGGTTGTAGACCTAATGTGATCACCTGCAACACTTTGATTGGTAGATTGTGTAAAATAAGGAAGATAAGTGTTGCCATTAAGTTGCTTGAAGAGATGGTTAATGGGAATAAAGAATCTAGTGTTATTGGTAGGCCAGATGTTGTTATTTATAATACTATAATTGATGGTCTTTGTAAGGCTGGATTGGTTGAGAAGGCTAGACAACTATTGTTGGAACATATGATTCAGAGAGGTGTGGTTCCTAACATTTATACTTACGCCATTTTAATAAACGGTTATTGCTTGGCCGATGGAATTGGTGATGCAAAGGAGTTGTTTGATTCTATAACTAGAAAGGGGTATAGACCTGATGTTGTTTGCTACAATAATTTAATCAATTGGTATTGCAAGAATAAAAAAGTCAACGAAGTTCTTAGTCGTTATCAAGAGAAGATTTTAGAAGGAATTAGGCCTGATGGGATTACATATAACACCCTATCAACTGGCTTTTTTCTTATAGCTAAGGTGAAAGATGCACGGAATTTAGTTGGTGAGATGCAACTTAACAATGTTTTCCCTGATTCCTAAACATATAACATTTTCATTGATAGACTTTGCAAGAATGGATATGTTTTGGAAGCGGTGCAAATGTTTAATGCTCTAGAAATTAATAAGTTTGTAGTTATCATTGAAGGTTTAAATTCCCTCATTGATGGATTATGTAAGACAGAGAGATTAGGAACTGCTTTGGACCTATTTCATAAATTTTCTCTTCATGGAAACCTGATGCCAAACGTTGTAACATATAGCATTTTGATCAATGGGCTGTGTAAAAATGGACAACTAGGAATGGCAAATAAGTTGTTGTTATATATGGAGGAAAAAGGTTGTGCTCTAGATGTAGTTACATTTACTACGCTTATGTTTGGTTTCCTTAAGAATAATGAGATACCAAAAGTTGTTAAACTCCTTCATAAGATGGCGGAGAAAAATGTGAAGCCGACTGAATGTACAATGTCCTTAGTCATGTTGTTACTAATGAAGGCCAAAAATTATCATGAATGTTTGAACGAGCTTCCTTAATTTTTGGTCCAAAAGTAAAATTAGAGTTTATGTGATAAAACTTTACTGAGTATTAGACTTTTTACAGAGCAGAGTCCTACAAAAGTTCATCCAACTGCCTAAATGCTTTATTTTGGTTATGGTAAGAAGAAGGTTCAACAAACACTTTCATCTGTTTGAATTTAATAGGGATGGGAAAGATTAAGAATGATGGCTTCCCTGATCAGACATACCATACGTGATCTGTCTCTGTTGTAAGTGCATATAGTGGAGGTGGTAGCATTGCAGGCTATGTGAGGATTTGCACATGAAGTAGGTCTTAAGGGTTTGAGGATTATTTTTGGTGCAAATTTCAGTAAGCAAAAGCCATGTATGAGAAATTGTGGAATGGTTCTTACTTCAACTACAACAATAATGGTAGCCGCTCAAGTTCATCTATTCAAGCTGATCAGTTTACTGGACAATGGTATGTTGCAACTAATTAACTTCATTCATTGATATTCTCAAATATCCAGGCCTGATAAATCTTGATTTATTTATAGTGTTTCACATGTTTCTGTTTCTCAATATATATTCTTTTTTAGTTCAAATCTGATAAGACTAGAACTTAGTAGGTGTCTCTAATGTAGTTAATCTATTTTTTTAAGTGGCAAATACATTTTGGAAGTTTTAATGGCATGTTGTCATCTTTTTCCCTACTTTTTGTGGAAAATTAAATTCTTGCTACTTTCAGTCATATTTTGCATATATATGTGGAATCAAGGGATAAAAACATTAATTCCATTCTTTGGAGTTCCTTTATGTAAGTAATTCTGTAAAATTGAATGACTAGAACTTGCTCTGATGTAGTGTATCTCACTTTGGTGTGACTGCTTGAGATTTATGCAAGAATATGATCCATCTGTACCTGAATTTTCACCTGATGGTGTTGCAAAGGCAAGAAATCTCTTCGAGCGTGCTATAACTGTTCCTAGTTTGCATGTTGCTAAAGGCAGTAAAATATGGGAAGCATATAAGGAATTTGAGCAAGCCATTCTCCATACCATAGATGAGATCAGCATTAAGGTGAGAATTTATAATATATATATTAGAAACGTTTAAGAAAATGTGCTTGAAGGGGATGTTGATAATCCAAGAATTATACTATTTTAATTAGGCTTTTTGGCCAGATTTTAGATACTTCTTAGTTCATTTATGCCTGAATTGCTACTTAACTCTATACATTTTGTGTTTCAGGCCAAAATGGACATTTTGAACAAATAATGAGTGAATTGGAGTTTCTGGACCCATAAGTAAGTGGATCTCAGAATTTGGGAGAGTTCTGAAGCAGAGTGAAGCACTATGAAGCTTGTTCCTATGGGAGAGCATCAAAGATCGAAGATTCAAGCAAAGAAGCAAGCAGAGGGCAATTCTATAATTTCAGAATTCTTCATGAAGGTTCGCCGTGGTGAAGTCTATCCTTCACCGCGGCGAAAGAAGTTATGTACGAGAGTCCATTTTACCTCGTCACTGCGCGAAATTCCTTCTTCATCGCGGCGAAGTCTGCGAATTTCAGTGTTCTCCAAAACGCACAGTTTTATTTTAGGCAAGTTTTAGGTTTTTGGGGTGAACTATTTAATCAAAACTTTGCCATTTTGATTAAGGGTTGGTCAGTTGTTCATCCATAGTAGCTTGTTTTAGTTTTCCTTAGTGTAGATTTGACAATTTTTGGTAAAGAAGTGAGAAGATTTGGGATTGAATCTTGTGGATTCTTCAACTAGGGGAGATCTATCTTTTATTTTATTTTCATTATGTTGACTATTGGGTTTATCATTTTTCTTGATATTTGTGTTGAATTAGTTATGAACTAACCCATTTTGGTTAGGGTTTTGATGTAATTTAGATTTCCATGGATTAATTGATTGATTTTTGTTATTTTCATATGCTATTGCACAGATTGTGTGGTTATTCTGATTTTGATTGATTTTACTTGTTGAACATGATGAGATTGAGAAATGAATCATGTTAAGCCCCTTGAGTAATCACCATTGTAGTATTGAATGCTAGAGATAGATTTGAGAATCAATGAAATCAATCTAGGATTCCATGTGCTCAATGAACTTGGAACTATTAATCTTCAAATTGTTCGGTGCAGAACTTTAATAGGAAAAAGTAGGAAAACATAGCCTGAGAAGGTATGTTTTACAGCTTAGAGAGTTCGATTTACAATCAATGCATGTGAATGTGGAAATAGCATAAACCATAGGCTTAATCTATAGAGTCTGAATGAAGTCAAAACCTTACCCAATTGTTTGAATTGATATTACCCTTCCTTTTTAATATTGCTTTCAATTTTAGTTTTTAATACTCAGTTGATTTTGTTCTTAATTTAGTTTTAAATTTCTCCCACAATCCAAACAAATTCGATTGCTGCAACTTGAAAACGATTAGGAAAATCAGTGGTTAACAACCAATCCTCGTGAGAACGATACTTACTCATCACTTTATTACTTTGTGTGACTAGTGCACTTGCTATTTATGCATGTTGTAGTAACAACGCATCAAGTTTTTGGCACCGTTGCCGGGGATTGATTTGTGTACTAACATTGAGTTTTTCTTGTGTTAGCTAGATTGGAGTTTATTTATTTATTTATTTATTTTGTTTTCATTATTGTTAGTTTTAATTTTTGTCGTTATTTTCTGTTGGTTTGCGATCTCACCTTTTCTTTTTCTCTTTCTTCGTATTTTATGCGAAGAGCAAGACGTCAGCTAGTGGTTCCTATTGATTCTGAGATTGAAAGAACTGCTAGAAGACTTAACCAAGAGAGAAGAGAACGAGAGGCTACAGTTGTTGAACTAGAGGTCATAGTTGTTGAAATGGTAGAAACTAGAACATTAAGGGAATTCTCAGTTCCCCAAGTTGATGGCAGTGGTTCGAGCATTACTAGACCAGTGGTGCAAGCCTACACCTTCGAAATGAAGCCGACAATCATCCAGATGATCCAATAGTCGGTATAGTTTAAGGGAGATTTGAAAGAAGATCCAAATCAGCACATTGCAAACTTTTTATAGATTTGTGACACCTTCAAGTCAAACAAAGTGTCAAATGACACCATCAGATTGAGACTATTCCTGTTTTCATTGAGGGATAAAGCTAAGGGATGGTTTGTGGCACTACCATCAGGAACAATCATAACATGGAACGAGTTAGCACAGAAGTTCCTGACCAAATTCTTTCCTCCAGCAAAATCAGCGAAGATGAGAATTGATATCACATCGTTTCTCTAGGATGAGTCTGAATCATTATATAAGGCTTGGGAAAGATACAAGGAATTAATGAGGAGGTGTCCTCACCATGGCATCCAAACATTTTATAACAGATTGATAGGTAATGTGCAAACTATGGTGGATGCGGCATCTAGAGGAGCTTTCCAGAATAAGACACCTGAAGAGACATATGAGTTGCTTGAAGTACTGGCAAGCAACAACTATCAAAGACCTAAATAGAGAACAATGCCAAGGAAATCTATGGGTCTTCATGAAGTTGATGCATATACAGCCATTTCAGCCTAATTGACAGCACTCCAAAAGCAGTTGGGAAGTATGCAGGTAAATTCCATTCAAGCACCTCAACTATCTTGTGATTTTTGTGCAGGTAGTCACATGAGCAGTGAATGTCAAGTTGGGAACACGTTTGCTTCATCATCTTCATCATCGGACAGGTTAACTACTTGGCAGGAAATCAAAGGCAACCGAACAATCTGTACCCTAACACATATAATCCTGGTTGGAGGAATCATCTGAACCTATCTTGGGGCAATCAGAATTAGTAGAACAATCAATAGAACCAAAGAGCAATGCCAAACAACCAAACAAGGTTGAACAATCAATCAGGAGAACAAAGAGTAACGAAAGTGGAGGACATGTTTGGAAAGTTTATGCAAGAGACCACAGGTTTTATGAATGGGAGAGGACGAATTTAAAAAATCTAGGGGCATCCATTTGGAACTTGGAGGTACAGGTGGGCAATTGGCTGAAAAGCTAAATGAGAGACCACGGGGGTCCCTACCAAGCAACACAGTGACTAACCCATATGAGCAAGCAAATGCAATAACTCTAACGAGTGGGACAATCTTGGAAGAGGTGGAACAATCAGGGAAAGAAGAAAGTTCATCAAAGGGAAAAGAAAAGGAAGATTCTGATGAGGAAGTTGATGAAGAGATCGTTGCTGAAGAGAAACCAACCAGTTCTAGGGAAGATGAACAAAAGCGGGAAGAGCGACAAAGACAAAAGAAAGAGAAATTGCCATACCCCAAGATACCACTGAAATTGGCACATCACACTCCACCCATGCCTTTTCCTTAGAGACTCAAGAAAACGAATCAGGATAAGCAGTTTTCCAAATTTATTGAAATATTTAAAAAACTGCATATTAACATTCCTTTTGCAGATGCATTGCAATAGATGCCGAGCTACGTAAAATTTCTCAAGGAGATTTTATGAAACAAAAGGAAGTTAGAAGATGAGGAAATGGTGATGCTTACAAAGGAGTGTATCGCCATTCTCTAGAAAAAGCTACCCCCCAAACTCAAAGATCCAGGGAGTTTTACTATTCCTTGCATTATAGGAGACATTACCTTTGATCAAGTTTTATGTGATTTAGGTGCTAGCATCAATTTAATGCCTTTTTCTGTTTTCAGGAGATTGGGGATTGGTGAAGTGAAGCCAACGACCATGTCGTTACAGCTTGCATATAGATCCATCAAACACCCGAGGGGTATAGTTGAAGATGTATTGGTGAAGGTGGACAAGATTATCTTTTCGACGGATTTTGTTGTTTTCGACATGGAAAAGGATAAGGAAATACCTCTCATTTTGGGAAGACCATTTCTGGCCATTGGAAGAGCTCTCATTGATGTGCAAGAAGGAAAGTTACTGTTAAGAGTTTAAGAGGAAACAATAACATTTAATGTCTTTAAGGCTATGAAGTTTCTGACTGAGTCAGATTCGTGCTTTAGTATGGATGTGGTGGATGGACTACTAGCAGAGGCTATTGAAGAAAACACTCCACAACTACCTCTAGAAGCATGTATTGCCCAATAAAAAACAGTCGAGGTAGATGAGTCGGCCAAGAATGAATGTGCTATATTGTTGGAAGCACTTCAGCCGATAGTTGAGAGCCAAGATATAGAATTTGAGGAATTTGATTTTGAGAAAGAGAAGGAAAAGAAAAGAAAGGAAGAACCTCCAAAACTTGAACTGAAACCTTTACCTTCTCACCTAAGTATGTGTATCTTGGTGAATCCGAAACCTTCCCAGTAATCATCAATGCAAGGTTGAGCACTTTGGAAGAAGAGCGGTTGGTTCGAGCGTTGAGAGAACACGGATCAGCAATTGGATGGACTATTTCGGATATTAGAGGCATCTCTCCATCATTTTGTATGCATAAGATACTAATAGAAGATGATATCAAACCTAGAGTACAACCACAATGAAGATTGAATCCTTCGATGAAGGAAGTGGTGAGAAAGGAGGTGGTAAAACTTCTAGATGCGGGCATAATTTATCCTATTTCAGACAGTCCATGGGTGAGCCTGGTGCAAGTGGTTCCAAAGAAAGGAGGTTTCATAATGATAAAAAATGAGAGCAATGAATTGATACCAACTAGGACAGTCACAGGTTAGAGAGTGTGCATTGACTACCAGAAATTGAATGAAGCGACAAGGAAGGATTATTTTCCACTTCCTTTCATCGATCAAATGTTGGATAGATTGGCAGGGCATGTTTACTACTGTTTCCTTGATGGTTTTTCAAGATATAATCAAATTGCAATTGCTCCTAAAGATCAAGAAAAGATAACCTTCACTTGTCCTTATGGCACCTTTGCTTACAGAAGGATGCCTTTCAGATTATGTAATGCACCAGCCACATTTTAGTGCATGATGTCTATCTTTGGTGACATGGTGGAACGGTTCATAGAAGTCTTCATGGATGACTTCTCTATTTTTGGTTCATCTTTTGACAATTGGTTATCTAATCTCTCTTTTGTTTTGTAGTGATGTCAAGAGACAAACTTGGTGCTCAACTGGGAGAAATCTCACTTCATGGTACAGGAAGGAATAGTACTCGGTCACAAAATCTCAAAGGATGGCATTGAAGTGGATCAAGCAAAAACAGAAGTGATCGAGAAGTTGCCACCACCTACCAATGTTAAGGCAGTTCAGAGTTTCTTAGGGCATGCGGGGTTTTACAAATAGTTTATCAAGGATTTTTCTAAGATCTCTAAATCCCTTTGCAATTTATTAATCAAGGATGTTGCTTTTGATTTTAATGATGAATGCATGCATGACTTTCAAACTCAAAAAAAATTATTAGTGTTAGCACCTATTATTGCAGTTCCCGATTGGGACTACCATTTGAATTGATGTGTGATGCTAGTGATTTTTCACTAGGAGTAGTGTTAGGATAGAGGAAAAACAAAGTGTTGCATGTAATTCAGTATGCTAGCAAAACACTCACTGATGCACAATTGAATTACACCACCATTGAAAAAGAATTGTTGGCTATGGTTTTTGCCTCTGACAAATTTCGTTCATATTTTCCAGGTGCTAAGGTGATAGTTTATACGGATCATTTGGCACTGAAGCCCCTATTGGCAAAGCAAGAAGCAAAACCTCGGCTGATAAGATGGATCCTATTGCTACAAGAGTTTGAGTTGGAGATTCGAGATAAAAAAAAGGGTTGGAAAATGTGGTAGCGGATCATTTGTCAAGGATTGAATGACCAATTCAGGGAAATGAAGAGGAATCCCAAATCAAAGAAACTTTCTCGGATGAGAAATTAATGAGAGTGGAGGAAGCACTGTGGTATGCAGATTTTGCAAACTACTTGTCGTCGAGAGTGCTCCCAATCGACATGACCTTCCAACAAAAGAGGAAGTTTTTCTCAGACTTGAAGTATTACTTCTGGGAAGAGCCATTTCTATATAGACACTGTGCTGATCAAATGATACATAGATGTGTCCCGGAAGAGGAAATGGAGAGTATCCTACAGCATTGTCACGAAAAGGAAGTGGGTGGCCATTTTGGAAGAGCTAGGACTACAGCCAAGGTTCTTCAATCTGGGTTTTATTGGCCAACTCTTTTCAAGGATTCCTTTCGGATGGTGCAAGAATGCAACCAATGTCAATGGAGTGGGAATATTTCAAAGCGAGATAACATGCCACCGAACAATATCTTAGTTGTTGAGCTATTCGATATATGGGGAATTGACTTCATGGGTTTTTTCCCAAATTCTTATGGGAACATGTACATTTTGGTAGCAATGGATTACGTATCAAATTGGGTGGAAACAGTTGCATTGCCATCCAATGATGCTAGGGTGGTGGTTAATTTTGTGAGAAAGAACATTTTCTCAAGGTTTGGGGTACCATGGGTAATCATTAGTGATGGAGGATCGCATTTTTACAATAGGCAATTAGATGCACTATTGGGAAAATATGGGGTGAAACATAGAGTTGCAACACCATACCATCCACAAACTAGCGGATAAGTGGAACTGTCAAACAGAGAACTAAAGGGAATTTTAGAAAAGACAGTCAATGCATCAAGGAAGGATTGGTCACGGAAGTTGGATGTTGCATTATGGGCCTACTACACTGCATTTAAGACTCTGATTGGTATGTCACCATTTAGGATGGTCTATGGGAAGGCATGTCATTTGCCGGTAGAACTCGAGCATAAGGCCTACTAGGCAGTCAAGCAGCTAAACATGGATTTAGGAGCTGCTGGGGAGGAAAGGATGCTGACTTTGAATGAACTTGATGAATTCCATCATGAAGCTTATGAGAATGCTAGAATGTACAAGGAAAAGACCAAGAAGTGGCATGACAAGCATATCAAGAAGAAGAACTTTGAAGTGGGTCAAAAAGTGTTGTTGTTTAATTCTAGACTTAGGCTTTTCCCTAGAAAACTTAGGTCTAGATGATCCGAACCCTTCATAGTTACAAGAGTTTACCCATACGGATCGGTGGAGGTGTCACATGAAGAAAAGGGCACATTTAAGGTCAATGGACAGAGATTGAAGCCGTATATTGATGGGGTGATGAGTTGCAAGTCAATCCCAATTCGGCTTGACATTTCGACATGAAAACTTGAGAGAGTCGAGCTTTCCGACTATAAACAAGCGCTCATTGGGAGGCAACCCAAGTGTTTTCATTTGTTATTATTTGTTTATTGTGTTGCATTTGTTTGGTTATCTTATGATTTTTAATGAAGTTTAATTTGTGTGTTTTTTTGGGTGTTTCAGGTGAATCATCAAATCAAGGTGAAAAATGGAAATTTTCCATTTTTCGCCACGGCGA